GTGTGCCCCTACAATATCTCAGCTGAAACGCAGACTTGAAACTGGCCACAGGCATAAGCTTCTAGCTCTCATCCTGTGGGCTACCACTGCCCCCGGTGCACTTTTGCCTAACTTCATTTTTTAAAATATTCCTTTTCAACACACACTTCCATGTCTTATTATCTTACTCCCCCACAAAACACTTAACAGCCACAGCCTTGAGGCAGCTGTGGTTTGGCCACGAGTAGTTTAGTTAATAATAGGAAACAACATGAACTACTGTGTACTCCACGTATGCCGCCAACTTATACACTCATAGGAGACAAAAACTATTAATGTCCACAGAGTCAGCTCCTGTTACATGTAGCCTTGAGCAAAACACATCAGCCAAATCAAACACGGGCACTGAATGTAAAATATAACGAATAAGAGAAGGTTGCAAAATAGACTCTGTAAGGGAGAGGGCGTGGCATCTTTTTACCTGACAGAGACGACTGAATGTGTCATGTATAAAAAACTCAAACAAAAAACTTTTGGTTTAATAGTAACACTTTAGATGGAGAAAGCTGATCTTTGAGATGACCCAACCCCCCAGTTCCAGTTTAAAATCCTTCATTAACATTACTGATAGTCTGTGCTGGCAAAGGTTAAGAAAAAAAAGAGCTATGTGTGCTGGGAGACTGCCGATAAATCTAAACCAAGTGCATGCAAGTATCTGTGTGTTAGCGTTCACTCACTCAGCATTACTTCCAAACTGCAGCTGACACGCTGCACTGCTGCTTGTAGTCCTTCTGGAATAATCCACAGGCTGGTTTTGCAGGGCTGCAGCATAGAGACAACAAACAGACGAGATATTGAAAAAGCTCTATGCTGCTGTGCAGCGTCAAAGCGCACGACTTGCAGATTTAAAAAAAGGCTCGGGGACGCTTGGCCGTCTCCCGCCACCCGATTGGAAACAAACAACTCCCCCAAATATAAAATCTCTTACCGGTTACTTCACGCCTCGGGCTGCTGGGTGCGGAGCTGACCTGCCGCTGGACTGCAACAGATGTTGGCGTGATGCTGAAGGAGGCATGACGTGCCATTTTTGCTTTTCTGAGCTCCTGTCCTGCTAGTGGCTGTGCAGACTCAGATGAAGCGATGGCTGCTACATTCAACGTGTTTCCTACAGGTAGATGGATGACAGCTGATTGAGGGTAAGAGCAATGATGACAAACGCAGTCTTATATTTTCATGTTACTCTAGCAGAGTTCACTAAAGTCATCTTTAACTCTCACCAGCATTCACACAGCTGCTGAATTCAACCGGGCCGAGCCACTTGAAGGCCGGCTTTCTGCCCCTCTCCTCTCTGACATGAACCTTCTTTATGAGGCTGAGGCTGGTCAGCACGTTGGCGATATCATACAGACGCCGCACCTTAGCTGGAGATCACACAGACAGTGTTTAGTTCGGTGAAATACTGTTTCCTGGAATCTATAAACGTCACTATACACATGCAGCACTTCTGGATTTCTTACTTTTGTACTTGCTGTGACTTGATGAGTCCTGACTCTCCTCGATGAGGACCTTTGCTGCTGCATCCAGGGTAACAGTCTGTGTTTTGGAGACCAGGAAAAGCATGACAAACTTCTGGCTCATGATGCGCAGAGATTTGTCTTTCCTGTTGCTACCGGCTGCAAAGACAAGCAGAAGAAACGGACAGTGTAAAAAGCTACTGCTTTCTTAATTAGCAGTGAAAACCAGCCCACTGAAAAACCAGTGACTCGTATGTTTAATAACATTTTATTCATTAATAACAGGCACCAAAACTCCATACAGAAATTCAAAGTACTTGTCAACATAAACTTGTTTCTTTCTTTCTTTTTCTACAACCTCAGTCTGAATGAAAACATTTCAGAGACGTGAAATCAAACCTGAAACCTCAGTACAACTTTTACAAACTAGATCTTCATTAGAATCCAGCCACATCATAAGTCTGCAAACGTACAACCTCTTAATGACAAGCTGTGAGCAGACAAGCGTCGCTACGGTAACCAGGCTTGAATCCATCCCTGGGGGTTTAAGGCCTTATTTAGCTTTAGTGTTAAGCATTTGCCCGTGAAAATAAGCCTACACCTAAACTGTTACATGCAGGCAACTGAAGTGATCCTTATATTGTCTAATGAAGACTGCGGTTAACGTCTAATCTTTATTTGGAGCCAATATGGAA